CAGTTTACTTTTTAGATATAACACTTCCAACACTTTGGCCATTTTGTAGATCATGTGCTGCTCGTAATGCCATAACCGCTGAATCGCCACCAACATTCCCAGCTATTTCTTCCTGGCTTGAATTTTAGCAAAGCTATATTAATATGTCTTGTCTATTTTTTAAACAGTGTTCAATAAGACTCTGTATAATACCGATCACCAAGTGCTGTTTTCACATTTTTCCCGCCGGCCAAATCTTTTCCAAGGTTCATTCCCGTTTTTGCCATTCTAAGTGAAGGATTCGAATCGACCATCTGATTTGCACTAAAACGAAGAAATCATATACTTCAATCTAACAATCAAATTTCAAAATATTCCACAATATAACTAACCGTTTAGTCAAAGCTGTTTTTGGATCTTTTCCAGATGCAATATCTTTCGACAGAGTTAGTCCAGTTTTTGCCATTGAGAGGGAGGGATCGGAATTAACAACTTGATTTGCACTAAATAGAAGGTTATACGTGAAAAACAAATAAACAAAAAAATTTGTACACATTTACCTCTCTAAGAGAGAATTGCCTCCAGCGCGGCCGGCTTGTTTTACGTCTCCTGTTTTGTAAAGTGTTTCACCAAATTTGTACGCACTGGAATTTGTTTTAAACCAAATTAAATTAATAAAATTTAAATTTTGAATATTCAATCAGAATAACAGTACCCCATTACACCAGCACCGCCAGCTTTAACGGGTGTCGGAACTAAGGGGCTCGTCAAAGCTAGATCAGAACCTTTTTTGATCACTTTGCCCACTTTAAATTTAATAGCTGACGATAAAGCCAGCAATCCGCACACAAAAAATATTGATAGAAAAAGCTTCATTGTTTCAGAAAATGTGCTCCACTTGTTATTTTCAACTGAGTTATTCTCATTGGAATTTCTTCTTTTATACCAAAACATGAAAATTAATGATATCCATCTCTGTGATCGTTAAATTTCAATATTTCCAATGCGAATATGTTTCACTTTAGTAACTTATTAAAATCTAATTATTAAAATTTAGAAGTAGAATGTTTAAAAGCACCACTCAAAACTTCGCCGCTCAAATTGGACATGGTTCCGTTGTGTGAAATTAATTAAAAACTTCAATTAACTCATTTCAATTTCATAAACACATTCCAAGAAAAATATGTTGTTTTCTTTCCATTTCAATCACACGTTAATTGCATTTTTTTCTAGAATACATATTGATCTGATCATTTAATATCACTATTTTTCAGAGCATCTTGATTTGCTGCTGCTCAGCATATAGCTGAGAGCTGAGAAATGCTGAACTCGTGCGGCTAACGCATACGAAACGGATGGCACGCACACATGCATTCTCCCCGTTTAAACGGTTATAAACAGTTGATTGGACGTTCAATTCAAAACTCAAAACTTAGTAACCAGTTGAGTTTGAAATTGTGTTGCGACCGACATATGAGAAGCTGCGAGAAAAACATCACGTCGCATCCCTCGTTATTTTGCTTACGTAAGTGAAAGCAAGAGATGAGATGCGACGTGCTGTTTTTGCTCTCAGTCTTTCATATATTCTGAAAGTGTACGTCTAACGCATACGAAACGGATGCACGATACATATTCCCCTTTCACTTCGTATGTTCGCTGGTATAGTGTGTAACCGTTGTACCGGCAATAGCGTCAACGGCAGCACATACGAAGCGAAAGGGGAATATGTATCGTGCATCCGTTTCGTATGTGTTAGCCGCACGAGCTCAGCATTTCTCAGCTCTCAGTTATATGCTGAGCAGCAGCAAATCAGGATACTCTGCTATTTTTGCGTCATTTGGCCAAGATAGTTTGGATTCGCTTGGAAACAGTAATGAGTGATAAGTAGTTTTTTGATAACACATACTAACAATGTTATTCAATACTTGAAATCATAAAAAAATTCGGTACTTCGATCTTTTTTTAATTAACAAATTTACTTTATTATTGCTTCATATCGTTATTACAAATTTCATTCATTTAAAATTGATGGGCACTTTTGGTAAAATTTGAAGACAGGTTTCTTTTTTAACCCGTGTATTTGAATTGTAGTTCATTCTCAGGATGATTTCTTATTCGGTTTTGATTTTGGATTTTCTGATTTTTTATTTCGAAGTTTTGAATCTTTACGACTTTGTTTCGTCGGGTGTGGTTTACTCTTCTTATTCGGACTCTGTCGTTTAGTATTGCCCTTGTTACTGGTGGTCTTAGCTCCTTTTTGTTTGGCTCCTCGGTTATTTGTTTGATTTCGAGCAGCATTCTGATGATTTTTTCTGTTATTTGATTTTAAAAATTTAGTCTAAGACGAAAACAAATATTTGAAGAAATGAATGTCTTTGACAATTTTTCTTCCATTACGGAAGTTCATTAAATTAGCACAATCATTGTAACCAAAGATTTTTTGTCTGCCTGAGCCAAAGTACCAGAATATTAATAATTAGAAAATTGATGACCCATATTCGCACATATTATTTTTGTCCTGATTCATATTTTATTGTTTTAGTATGTTATTCTCCTAGGGGGAAACCACGGACTCTAATATGTGCAAATTTTTTCTAATATTTCTAGTAAAACCCCATATAACATGTTATTTTATATCTTTCTAATATGTTCTAACTACTTCGTGGTTTCCCCCTTGGTTATTCTCTCTCTTTGCTTTTCAACGGCGATTGTCAGTTTTAGGCTTTTGATGACTTTTCTCAATAAAATTTTAAAGATTATAAAAACTATAAAAATATGACAGCCACCAAAAACGATCTATTGAATTTTGTCCAAAACAAAGTTCCCTCATTTGTCACTGAATCAAAGTAACTTACCAAAAATGGGACGAAAACGGAACACTAGGACTTAATGAGTTTATGTGTGCCAAATACATACCGATCAGTAAGTGCTGTTTTCGCTTTTTTTCTGGCCTTCACATTTTTTCCAAGACGTAATGCAGTTTTTGCCATTTTAAGTGAAGGATTTGAGTCAACTATATCATTAGCACTTGAACAGGAATAAAAAAAATATTTTTTCCAAAAGTGAGTTCATGGCAGTAACAACCAAGTAAGTTTACTTTCGCTAAGTAAATGATTGTAATTTACTTGGAAAAAATTGTACCTCTCTACAAGAGAATTTGAGCTAGCATGTCCGGCTTTCTTTACGTCGCCTGTTTTAATAAGTGTTTCACCAAATTTGTACGCATTAAAAATTGCTTAAACTGAATCAAATTAATAAGATGATAATTTTGAATATATGATTGTTTTACCCCATTACCCCAGCACCACCAGCTTTGTAATATGGCGGAATGTACGGGCTCGCCATAGCTAGATCAGCACTGTTTTTAATGATTTTGCCCGCGTACAAATCTGCTGATGAAAAATGTAGAAATCCAAACAAAAAATATATTAAAATATACGAATAAGGCGTCATTACTTCACAGTATTGGCAATTTCTTCTTTTATGTCAAATTTGTAGAGACCAAAGTTTATCGATCAAATCCCATTTTGTAACTGAATGTTTTATTTAAATTTTCCATTCTATCAACAACTGAGATATTTTGTTTATATTCCGTTTCGTTCGAAAATAAGATTTGAAACAATTTCAAGATATTTGTTTGAAACAATAAAAAATGCTTACTTAAATTTTTAAATGAAATAGTTCGTAATTTATTTTTATGTAATAGAGATTCGAAAACACATTTGGAAATCAGAATAATCCGTATGAAAATTAACAAAAAGGGTGAAGTTCTTTCGTATATTTCAAACTGTAGGTAAATTTTAAATTTCTTTCAACGCATGCTTCCATCGATTTTTAAGCCGATTTCTTCTTTGGTTTTTGATTCCGGGGTTTTGCGCGCTGTTTATTCTTATCATTCCGGACTTGATTTTTATTTTTCCTCTTCGTAGCTCCGTTTCGTTTGGATCCATTTTGTTTTTTTTAGTTTGGGAGCGCCATTCTGGTCCTCACTGTAATTTGAAGTTATAGATTTTTTTTAGATAAAATTGCATATATTCAAATTTTTCTTCAGAAACAGCATTATTTTTACCTTTTAGTTGTTGGTTTTTTCGTTTGATGATCACTCTTAGGTGATTCCAAATCAGTTTTATCATCAGATTTTGGTTGGTCGACTCTTTTTTAATGAACGAATCACAATTTTAAGTAAAAATGATTAAAATTTCACTAGAGTAGAAGATAATTAATATTTTTATACTTAAGTTCTTGCATCTCTGGTACTGCTGTCGCTTCTAGAACAGCTTGAGAGTTGTTATCCTCCTTCACTGATTCGGCTATCGAAGAGTGTAAAACTCCGATGAAAAGTAATATAACAAGTTTTGAGACTATCATTTTTACGGAACTGAACACACTTGTTGAAAAGATGCCTTCAAAATGTATTGAACCCTTTAGCTGCATTCACTTATAAACCATTTCATCGAACAACTTTATTGCAATATTTCCAATTATACAATAAATACCAATCATTTCAAACTTCAAAGGAAAACAATTGCATATTTGCCGTCGACTTTTTTCGTCGTCTCTAATTAATTAATTAATTAATTAGAAAAGACATTTTCAAATGAATTGTTTACACATGCAACCAATTTTATTGTCACGGAAATTATTCAATTAGAAGATTCTTTTGCCCTGAAACACATTTATTTATATTAAACATACCTTTTTGCTGGTTGAGGTAGTTGCAGATGGAGCATATATTATTATTTTATGTCAGTTTGACCACGAAATTTGTAAAAGATGTCGACAACAGCGCTCTACAGCAATTGCCAGCTCAACTATCAAACCCATTGCCACTAAGCAATTTACACTTTTTCTAAACCTAGCGAGAAGTATTGTTCATTGGAATATCCAAAATACAAGGGAATGGCACATATATGAGATACATGGCGACGTGCCAAACCGTAACGCCATCTATCGGATAGAATCTGAATTACAAATTTCGTATTGACTATCTCATATTTGTGTAATTTTGTTCATAGAATTATAAGGTTTATTCCGACAAATTTGTAAGGTTTTTTTCGTCAACATTTTACATAGCATGCCATACTACAGATCTACCGATCATAACATATTATTATCATTTAACATAACATAATAATAATTTAAATATGTTTGGTCCAACATAACATAATAATAACGTTATTATTATATCGCCATGATAATAACATATTATCTTAATAATATGTTTGAAAATATATTAATAAGATTTTATTAAGATCAACCATATCTTAATAAAATCTCATTATTATAATCTCAATATTATTAAGATATTTTCAAACATTTTATTAAGATAATATTTTATTATCATGGCGATATAATAATAACGTTATAAAGGTAAAAAAATTCAAACATAACATAATAATAAATATATTGGGCATTAACATATTATTAATATAACGAAAATGTAAATTTGTATGCCATACCCTTGCCAAAATAGCATCAAAATCGAAATTTTGAGTACTCCGAAATTTATCGCGAACTTCCTTGGTACACTTCGAAAAAAATTGTTGTACATGGAAGTACAACATCTTGTACAGATGATTAGGGCTATTGATAATAAAAATACGAGGTCGCGAAAATTTGAGTACTGAATCAATTTAGAGTGCTATGAGGTTGGCGGTGTTGCTCAACTGCCACTGCTGCCTGGTTTAACGCTGTCACAAGTATTCGAGTAATCATGACTTCATTTGTATTTCTTGCGTCATTTACAATTCTTGCATCAGTTGGACAGGAAAGAGCAAATGAATACAGTTATGATAAAGTAGAACCTCAAAGAAATGTAAAATTTGTATTTTTTTGAAACTCATTTAACATAAATTTGAACTATAATAAAAAGTTTCGAATGATATTTTTTGAAATAAAAATGTCTTTTTATTGTATCTTAACGTTACAAAAAAATTGTTTGATGGATATCAGAATGGATTAGATTAATAAAAA